CGCGGTTGTATGAAGATCCAGTGCAATTGCACGCGCATTTGATGTCATCAAATGCGCGTGCAATTGTACTGAATCCTTATACAACCGCGTTCGCAACCGCTTTGCGAACGCGGATCCGCTTCCAGTGTGAATGAGCCCTTAGTCTGCCTCAGTGGGCGTCTGATGTCTCAGCTGTAGATGAGCAATTTAGCCAGTGCGGTACAACCGCTAACCTGGGGTCTTTAACGTGCACCACGCAGTAGATCTAGATGTGTATCTAGATCTACTGCGTGGCGTGCGGGATGAGCATCGACTAGTGCCACCGCACGCCGGTACGATGCTCCTCCAGATCGAAACCCTGCTGCAGCTGCAAAACCCTGGATCCCTGGGTTCTGCAGCGCGAGCTTTCGCTCCACGCGCTCCGAACTGATGTGCGCTAGACCACTCGGCCACCAATCCCCCCGATTGCTTGTGGGATTTCCATGGGACAATAAAGCAGAGGCGCCGATAATAAAGCGCCAGGAAGATTCGGGCTTTATCTACACTTTAAGGGGACCGTGCAACAACCCTGGGTTGGCATGTTTTTCAGTTTACACAAGCTTACTGGCCGCAGTGTAACCCCAGAAGACTCCCACATAAGAAAGAAGTGTTTTTTAGGGCGAAGCCCCCTAGGGGCTAGCCATGTCCATATGTCGGTCCGATGTCCGGCTACAGTGGTAGTCCGGCGTAGGGTGCTCGTGCTCACGAGCACGTGAGCACGTGCTCCCGAGCACCTGAGCACGTGCTCCCGTGCTCGTGTATGGCAAAAAAAAAAAAAAAAAAAAAAAAAAAAACGCATCTCCACGTGGTGAATGATGTTGATTGGGGCGAAGCTCTGGTGGTGCTTGCTTGCGTAGACGGTGAGCCGCAGCATGCCAAGCCTTTCGTTCGTTTTCATCCATGTCAGAAAGAGAATGTGTTGTATGGAACGTGGTTATATACGCATCTGAGCATTTGACCGCATCGTGATCTGAATGAAAACGAACGAAATGCTCGGCATGCTGCGGCTCAGCGTCTACGCAGACAAGCACCACCAGAGTTCCGCCCCAATCATCATCATTCACCACGTGGCAACGTTACTAAAACACTCAGTTGGGAAACTCGCCGTCGAAACCTGGGCCGTTGGTGTGACCGAGACCGAGCTGAATACGAAAACAGCGCCACTCTTTATCATTTGTCTGTACTGTGGTCACATTCAGCTTTTAGAAAGCATGTTTTTGCGTAAAAACAAACGGAAAAAACTCTTTTTGTATGAAATTTATTGGAGTTTAGTACAAAATGAAGGACGGGTGATGTTTTTAAGATTTTTAGTTTCCAAAGTTTTCGGGCACAGTTAATATTGTTTTTATACAACCATGCCTCAGCGGTGCTTTCAGGTAGCGCGTCCCGACCTAGGTGCATTTTAACTTCGGCAGTAACTCGCGGCGCGTCCGCTGGGGAGACGGGGGTGGCACCCTTGTAACCTCTTACGCTGTATCTGTTTCGGCGCCAAAATGGCCGATTAAAGCCAAAATAGACGTCACGTGCAGTTCCTCGAGTGGTCGCTGCGGGAGAAATGGCGGCGTTGTGTTCGCCATTAGCTCGGTGCTCGAGGACAGATCAGGGACACTTTTTCAGAGCAGTTTCTATGGCGGTTTCCCAACTGAGAGGTTTAGTAACGTTGCCACGTGGAGATGCGTTTTTTTTCTTTTTTTTTTTTTTAAGAAGCTAGACGCCAATAGCGGAAACGGGTTTTAACAGCTGCCGCTAGTCTAACACCAACAGGGGTGAACGGCCTGCGTTTTAAGGTTATGATGATAATGCAATTAATGCAGAGTGCAGGCGAGCTGGACAATTATAACGATAATTCCTTTGTTCCCCTTGTTTCTCTTCTCCAGGGATTATTATCGCTTTCTTGTCAAAGGCAACACGACGTCGACGTCACCGTCGTCGTCGTCGTCACCGCCGTTCTCGTCGTCCTCGTCATCGTCGTCGTCGTCATCGTCACCGCCGTCGACGTCATCGTCCTCCTCCTCGTCGTTGTCGTCGTCGTTCTCGTTGTCGTCTTCGTCGTCATCGTCGTCATCGTCGTCATTGTCGTCCTCCTCGTCGTCATCGTCGACCTCGTCGTCATCGCCGTCCTCGTCGTCCCGACGACGACAACGACATCGACGTCATCGTCGTCGTCCTCGTCGTCGTCGTCCTTTTTTTTTTTATTGACAGGCAAAAAAGGAAGTCAGAGAAATTAGTCGGGAGACATCTTCTGACTGGCTACTCTGAGTAGGGAAGGGGAATGAGAGATAATAATAATAATAATAATTTGTTTATTCCATGTGCCCAAAAACAACCACGCGGGTCTTCACATTGGCGCACACAAGACAAAAAGAAGAAACACAGCACATTCACAGCTTAAAATGTACAAATTAGCATGACTACAAATAGGTCGCACACTTCACACAAAATGTAATAGAGTTTCAACTTTCATCTAGGCTTGCCAAGTTCCGGCGAAAAACTGGGAGATCACTGAAGCTGTCCAAGCTAGATGATGTGATTGTATTAAATGAAATTTGCATACGGGACAGTGGTGAGAGTTTAGACATGATTTGTCTAAACTCTAATCAGAGTTTAGAGACTTTGGAGACTCACAAATCTCCAAAGTCGGAAGCTCCTGCTGCCGACTTTGCAGACTTGTGGACGCACACGGGCTGCGGTTCCGTTCTTCAACCTGCCACGCCTGCCACGCCGTTCTTGACGCGCAGTCCTCTTACCATTTCACCGGGCTGTAAGCGCACGGTGTCGTCACTCCGGTATGCACAGCATGCGCGGCAACGTAAGGCCCAACAAAATCGACGACGCCGCTTGCACGAAACCGCCAACAATCCGCCATAGAATTAAACGCACTTTTGCGGTGAATAAATTCGCGCAACGAAATGGCTCTGTCGTTTTCCGCGCATCGCGTGCACGTCTTATATGCACACACTGAGTTAACTGATCTGCTTGCACTATACTGCCACTAAAAAAGCTACACTTCAGAGTAACGAAACTTGGCCATATTATGTCTCAAAATCATGGTTGCCAATTACCTGAAACTTTATCTGAAATCACTGGAAACGCTTTTCCGCCTTCCACAAATGGTTACACATTTCTCAACATAATAAAGAAATATTACATGACCTTCCTAACACCAAATCTAATGCTGAGAAATCGCACTTTTGAATCTTGACGATCGGCAGTTGCGTCTGCTCTGCATACGAGCCAAAATGGCGGCGCCCACAACAATGTCGGAGAACGGAGTATCGATACTTTAAGCGCATGCAGCTCATTTAGTGGCGCTAGCTTGCAGCAGGGAGAAGAGAGCTTTCGGAAATGTTTACTCCGCGGGAAAGGGCTGAGACACTGCATCCAGCGTGCTTTGTTATTTATAACCACTGTGCGAAATGATAACGCATTTCTTTGAAAATCAGTGTAGCGGCAGCAGCGATTTCAACCTTTTTCTTTTGGTGCATACTGTATTGTCGGCCTCCGTGTACATTTTTGAGAGAGCAGCTCAATGTATGCGGAAGGGACCAAGGCTGTGAAGCAAGCAAAATATATGACAGTTTTAATAATCCATGCCACCAACCATTACTAAGGATGCGCACAGTTAACAGTGAACAACAGAAGCTGAAAACACCATAAAGTCCTTCATTTGAATGCCATATATTAAAAAAAAAAAGGAATTACTTTGCACAGCCAGAAAACAACCCCATTACTTAGCAGAGATTTCTAGACTTGATCTGGCGTTGGTAAACACGGCTGGTAAAACACCTCCAAAACTAAACGGAAAAGTTTGGTGATAAAATATTCTGAAAGATTTAAAGTGCGGTTATATAGAATAGAGAACAACAGATACAGACGATATGTATTTTTGCTTTCGAATCTCAGAGACAGGATTTTACTCTCTTTTTTGTCGAACGCTACGTGCTATTACATCACTTGCTTAGGTTCGTTAGGTTAATTGCAGTGGCTCATACTTCGATGTCGGCGACGGCAAAAAGCTGTGCTGGAGACGACGGGTGGAGAAACACTGGCGATGCCGACTTTATTTCACGGCTGGGAAACACAAAGCGGCCGTCAAGTAAGACAAGTGGTGCAACCATTTTAACAACCGACGACTTTGGCACTAGTAGTTTCAATTCATGATCGAACGAAGCCAACGCTACTATCACAAGCACGTTGACCAAAATTATTCTTGCACTGCACGAGGGTACAGTATTTTACAGTGACTATGAAAGCCCCGAGCTCGCTCGAACTTGAGAAATAGATTTGTGCAGTCCATGGACGAAAACAGTCATCAAGACTTAGCAGTAGTAAAAAGATGCAAAGTAAGACCTAGAGATACTCAAATCAATACTGCACAGGGGGTTGATGGAGCTATCAGAAACCTAAAATTATAAAAAGAGAAAGCGATATCTGCAAAATATCAGTCATCTGGGAATTGCCTACGATAAGTTTCAGTCACTGGCTCCAGAACCCAATAGAAAGCCTCCACTGAGTGCTTTACAAGAGTGAATACCAACCTAAGGCTTGTGGTCACACCAGACATGGTGGCATAGACCAGGTGGTTGAGGTCGCCGGTGGTCTGTGCGGTGAGCTTCAGTGTACCGAAGCAGATGTCGTAGACAGCCTCGGTGGCATTGAGAAAGTCTCGTCTGTGTTCTCCACCAACTAGTGCACCGACAGGGTGGCGTTGTAGAGCTTCACCACGGTGTCCGACACCTGAAAACAGACAATAAGAACCCAATCAGAAAACCAGAAACTCATTCATAAAGTGGTGCTGGCCATGGCAAAACAAGCCGATCCAGTTTAATGCTAGCTGAAAAGAGTAAGCTCCTGCTTGGGGTGCGCTGGCATGCTAAGGTATGGAACCGGCTGCCGCTTCGTGATAGTATGTATTCTGGCAGTCCCTTCCAACCTTGTTTCACAGAGTAACATATCCGGGGCTCCACACATTGCTTTCCTAGAGCCCCAGCCTGGATGCCACTGGGCCAGTTCATGCGGTTCCACTCTATACCTTGGATCCAAGAGCAACAGCGAAACACCTGCATGAAAAGAGGACAGTGGGATGAAGGGAGCCGACCTTGGGGAAACGCACCACGCTAAAGGTGTTCATGACCCTGTCCGGGTACTCCTATCGGATCTTGGAGATGAACAGGGTGCCCTTGCCCGAGCCGGTGCCTCCACCAAGGGAGGGGACCAGCTGGAAATCCCTGCTGGCAGTTACAGCCCTCTGCCTCCTTGCGCATCGCATCCAAAACAGAGTCCCCCAGCTCCGCACCCTCCATGTAGTGGCCCTTGGCCCGGTTGTTACCGGCACTACTCTGGCCTGTACAGACCCAGCACCTCGTTAGGACAAACACCCGAGGTGGCACAACCTGCGGCCATGTGGAGCAAATCTGCTTGTTCGTTCCCTAGCTGAATACGTATTAACTATGCAAGAACTAACAACCCAAGTTTTATGCAACATGCACTCAAAGTGTTGTAGCCACCGACAGCTTAAAGGCCGAAGTAGCCAGAAAGAAGGAAACTCTCCCTTAATTCCTCCTTTCCATTCAAGAGAGAGGAGGACCCTCCTTGCCGCGGGGAGTAGCTCCGAGTCTCTTTCCTGTATGGCGAGGAGAGATGAGTGTGAGGGAATGGCGAGAGGGACACTGGGAACCGGTTTTCTGCCCGACAGAAGATTTTGTAGGTTGGCCTTTAAGGACTGGTTCGTGGCTAGTCGACGCGCATCCCATTACTGCTCAGCGGCAAATACATGGCTTGCATTGACGTCACATCAGCCGCCTTTGCTCCGGACCATGCTCAGATGCCGGTACCTTCTCCAGTACACATTTCGAAACATCGAATTTATTCTGCTCGGCGTGCCTTGCCGAGAAGAACAAATTCGATTTTGCGAAATGTATGCTGCAGAAGGTACGAGCACAAAAAGGGTACGAAGCGATGTGGGCTGGCACGGTGCCATATGACGTCACGTGCCATGCACGTATAGGCCCGTTTCACTTAGCCAGTAGGCGCAGTCGCGTTTGTTTAGACATAACCATGTAATGCTTGCACCTAGCAAAAAGCGGCACTGCAGCATTTCCCAGTCTTTTTACAAGCGCATTGCATCGGTTTATTGGCGAAAACCGAGTGTCTAAAAAATGCTAAAATATTGTAACAAAATAAATGCAGCTCACACTCCCAATGTCCAATAAAAGTAAGTACTTTTCTAGTAGCTTTGTTTTTGTTTTCTTCCAAACTCATATGCGAATGAAATTCTGTCATCCGCGAACAACATAGAAACGTGTTAGGAAACACACCTTTCAGCTGCAACTTTACGTCAGCTGTACTACTCTACCGTGCTCATGGAGGAGAAGTGAAGACTGGAGCGGAACCATGTGCACGTTACCGCTTGTAAAATGGAGCCAGTAACCAGGCAGCACGTGCGTCGCCTGCCTACCAGAAAGTGGAAGGTGCTCACCAAACACAAGGTTTCCGGCCTGAAGAGCTGGCCAGATGGTGCGGACTGCACGGAGTCCATAGTTCCCGGTTCAAGGTCAACCAGGAGGGCACGCGGCACATACTTTCCACCTTTGAGGTAAGGAAGGAGGTCAACGCGAGCCACATTTTAATTTAAAGATTACAGACTTAAATAAAGGGTGCATGACAACTAATTGAAATGTCGCAGCAAATTTCCAACCCTTTACCAATGATTTGACCCGTTTCATAAACGATATGGGGATGTTACGTGAGAATTGAAATATATTGAGAAATGCATCTCGAGACGTAAACATTAAATTTCAGAGACCCAAAAATTACGAGTTAACCAACAGTCCTTCGCTTGATCTAACATGATCCAAATAAATGTTGCAGTCATGGTAACTCAGGAACGGGGGAAATAAACTTGACAGACAACACAAAGCTTTTTGTAGCTTTGTGCTGACCGTCCCGTTTTCCCCTCGCTCCTGGGTTACCTTGTCAGCATTGAACCAGCTCACCTGCACTCTTGCTTCAGTTAACTACAGTGATCGCTAAGTACCACAATGCACCCCAGGTTCTTCACGTCAATCCCTAATTCAATACACTTTTTATTTCTTTATTTTTAAACGCCTAAGGTGAGGAGACAATGTAGTACCAGAGGTCTTGTTGTAGTACACGTTGATTCTCTTCAACTGGAGCTCCGAATCGCCATGGTAACAGCCGGTTGGGTCGATGCCGTGCTCGCCGGAGATTACCAACAACAACTGCAGGGAAAAGAAAATTGACTGAAGAAACCACTATTTTCGGTCGTCTATGAATTGCGATAGCATTCATCATGAGACGAACGATGCAGCTCACTGAATGCGACGACGCTAATTTTGAGTGAACACTTCTTTTATGAATAGTTTGCGACGCAATCATTGACATCACCACGACTGCAGCGCGCCACTTCGAAATTGAGTGTTTGCTTCGTCCCTGTGTAACCGTTCAATCTTCAGTCTCTGTGTAATCGTTTAATGTTCAAGCTGTTTCCCCACCATCATTGCAACTACGTGTGTGTCTTGTCCTGTATCTGTGTAATCGTTTAATGCTCGAGCTGCTTCACCCCCATCATTGACAATCTACCAACCAACTGAACTCAAACCGATAATTGCTTCGTAGCTTGGGCGCAGATGTGAATGTGTTCGTACTGCCGCTCTGTGTATACGCGGCGCGGGTTCATCCGCTTGCTGCGACGACGTCGAGGAAGACGACGTCTAGGACTACCTTTAGGGCGATCTCAGGACAACTTCAAGGACGACGTCTATAGGGTGATCTCAAGGACGACCTCTAGGACAGCCTCAAGAACGACGTCTAGGACGAGCTCAAAGGGGACGTCTACAGGACGACGTCCGCATACGCGCGGCTCCTGCGTATGCGGACGTCATGCGTATGCGAACGTCCTGTATGCGCAGCGCATACGCGCGGCGCATTCGAGGCCAGATCCCGTATCGCGAAAACCGGGTGAAGTAGCTAAATTTTGCTATCGCATTAAAAAACTACCAGGGCCCGTTTTCTCGAACGCGAACCGTGGTTTAAAGTTAACTATTGTCCCTAGAAGGGAGAATTCTAGGGACAATAGTTCTAGGTACTGCTCCTCCGCCGAGGGAGGAGCAGTACCTAGAAGCAAAATGGCCGTGGCGTCGCTCAACGAGGGCTAATAATTCTGCTTGGTTCTGCTGAACATTCATTTCGATCCGGCTGTTATTTTAATGACGCACCATCAACCTATTAGCACGTCAAGCAAAGCGGTAGTTCAGAGGGACTACTAAATTAACCGACGGCAGCATTCCGCGAACGCATCACTCTTCAGCAGTCCGGGATCCAAGACATATGACGGTACATAAGCCTTGCAAGTGTTTTTATGGTGAGTAAAAAAATGTTTTGCGAACGAGTGTTGGTATATATTTATTCTAACACGTTTAATTTGTTACACTATGCATGCCAACTCGTGAGCCGCGCTTACTTTGCGGAGAGAGGGGGTTATCTACAATAAAGTCTTCGTTCCTGGTAACAGCTGGGACATTGTACTGTTGTTTTTTTTTGTTCGCCGTGCGCCGACAGTATGCCGACAGCATCGAGGTTTCAACGTATCCCCGGTGGTCAGCGATTCAACGGTGACGAGAAGCTTAGCTTTTCGTCACCGGTGGATCGGTTGGGCAAATGGAAGAGAGGGCAAACAGTTGAGATCAACAGGAATCGCAGAAACGTGCGTTGCAAGGAACAAAAACGAGACTACAGCACCGGCGTTGCCAGACTGAAAGGAACACGGGAAAGTTATGCGCTGTTTATGGCGAAACATATTGAAAAAAAAATGTTTTTTAGATTTTCGAATATTCGTCGACAAACTACGGCATAGTAGCTAAAATTTCTTCGTACCATCGGAAGCAAATAAATTGGTTTTCAAGTACAACATTACTATATTTTGACTTAAAATACCATACTAGATCGATAACAACCAGCGGAAAAAGAGGATAAACAAAATGACAGGCTTGTTTCACCGATAGATGGCGCACCTTATTGCCCAATCAAAAATAATTATTGTTGTTCTATATCCAGCCGTTTATTACAGTACCTAGGTACTTTTTCCTTCCTAGGCACCGTGGTTTACCAAAATGGGTTTACCATCGCTTCGAGAAAACCGGCCCAGAGAGTCAAACAACTCTCCGAAACTCTACAGCAGCAGCACCGGGTTCATGGGTCGAGGTTATTCCGGGCACGAGTCAACGCCGGTCCCAAAAAGACGTGAGAAGAGGCAGTGCACATTTTAGGCCTAAAGAGGTGCCTCCCTAGAACAAAAGGAAAGCCGCTAGAAAATAAGTGGCAGTTTTCAGACGCAACGAGGCTACCTAAAATGGCGCGCCGAAAGAACACGGCAGAGGCAAGCGAGAGGCTTGCGGGCTACGTGGGCGGGAAAAGGGAAAAAAATGTCCAGCAGAGAACAGGCTAAGTCAACTTAAGTGTTACACATCGCGACAGGGGAGGGCAAAAACAAGCAAAAGATTAAAAAAAAAAGACTAGGTTTAAGGCGGCGGAAGCGGAGAACAAAAGGAATTCGCAGGTAAAATGAAGGACGGACCAAAGGTGTTATTGAAACGAACGAAGGTATAATGAAGACGCCCTGTACCGGTAAAGTCTTTGAGTAAGGTGCCGAATTACGCGACATAAATTTGAAGCGAATAATGCAGGGACCTTCGGCCCGCATCCTGAAACCCAAAAAAAACTCCGAATTAAAACACACACACACACACACACACACACACACACACACACACACACACACACACACACACACACACACACACACACACGGCCCACTTAACGGTTTGAATGACGGTTTATTAGGCCTAGCAACTGCCAGAGCCGGAAACCGCAATGACTCCAGCGAAACGGTTTGCAAGATGAATTAAAATGACCACCGCACCTTTCATACCCCTGCGTTGATTTGGTAGCCGCACTGGCCAACTTGCATGTGGATGGTTTTACGCATTTTTCAAAAGAACGATCACACCGGTCCCCCCAGCTCAGCAACTACAAAAACAAAATTGTGTTGCTTGTACGTTTAGACAGCCTAGATGCCAGTACGCCTCGATGGGTGACCTGTCTCTTAGCTGTAGATGAGAAATTTAGCCACTGCAGTACAACCGCTAACCTGGGCTTTTTAACGTGCATCGCGCAGTTGTGACCGGACGAACCCGTGCCGGTACGAAACTCATTTAGATTGAAACGGGCGGGTGTGGGGATTGAACCCAGAAGGTTCTGCAGAGCAAGATTTCGCTCCACGCTGCGTGCTGAGACGGGTTATCCTACTCGGCCAACAAAAAAGGCACTTCCCTATAGTGCAATTTATAAACTCCTCTTTCTACCCTCTACCCAGAGTGCCACGGAGCCGGTGGATTCTCTGCGTATAGGCCATTCGGTCGCCGGGTAGATGAAATGATTCTTTAGCTTTTGATTTGCCTATGTTAAGAACGTGGCGTACGGTGATAGGGTTGTACCAGTAGTGATTGGAATAGTGCTGCGTCATGTTTATGCCTTGACAGTGCAAGGGAAGCCCAGGCGGCTGGTTCTTTCAACATTGCAGAAGTCAGGGATGACGCTACGCTATTGGGATCGAAACACTATTCGCACACCCCGACTAAATTTTTTTTTTTCTGACATCTATGACATCACTTTTGTAAAACACTCAAAATAGAAGCTTTATTATTCTGACGACGCCCGTCAATGCAGCACACAGTCAACGGGACTCCCTTTCCGGAGGTGCAATAAAAGACAGCGTGGCTTGGGCCGCCGGCGGCCCAAGCCACGCGCTGTTTCACGTTGCGCACACGCCGCGAAGTGGCGTTTGCGGTGCCAGGTGGGTTAAAGGGGCTATTAAACGATTTTTTCACTTTCCCTAAATACTACTCAGAATCACTCTCTAACCAAATAATCTTGCCTTAGTTTTTCTTTCTAAGCAGTGGCAGTCGGCAAATAAATGCGAAAAATATGAGCATCGTTCATCCCCTCAACGCGGAGCCAGAACAAGCGGCCACGTGGCTTGTTGCCTATCCTATGCCGCCAACGTTAATCATAGCCACGCAATGGGGTTGGCAAAGGAGAAAACGCGTGCTGAGCTCCGAGCATTTTTAAAGTTCGGCTATTAGCCGCGAGATGTTTTGGTGGCGCCCTCCTATGGTTTCCCCTTGTGACGTCATTACCTTGCAAACAACA